ATTATGCCTTTTCTTTTAAGTAAGTATTATCAAATACCAATGTATACATATTTATTCGAATAAATATCTAATAATATTGGCGAGTTAAGGTTTCCTACATTATGGCTTTATAATTTGGATTTTTTTTGTTTTATATTTCTTAAGATTTCTGTCTAAGATGCTATTCAAATTTGTGTTGAAGTTATACCATTGACCTGAGAATTATAATATTCGAATATTCGGCAAACAGTAGTTAAATCACCACCCTAATTACTGAATTAATTTCGTTAGTCAATCAGATTTCAAGATCATGTAACGTAAAAGAAGTGCAAAAAAATCAAACCAACAAAAAAACGCTTGTAGATTAAAATTTTGCCTATGAAAGTGCCTTCTGCGTACCTTCTGTGTACTAACAAAAAACTTTTCTCGTGAAATTTTACTATAACTATTAGCCCTCTAAACCAAATACTAATCTACTGGTGGGATCCTAACCCTAAACTACTAATTGCGAACCAATTTTTTTTAATAAGATCACATAGTCAGCGAAATTTTTTAAGGTGGTGATGCTAGACTTATATATTCAGCATTACACCATAATAAGATAAAAATAACAGTGCCATGATCATACAAAATTTTCTAAAAAAAATTAATGAGAATCTTGCATATTTACGGTTAGCCTTCCATAAATCTTTTCGAAACTTTTATAAAGGGCGTACAGTTTCATTGAAGTGTTGACAGCTTTTACCACCGAAAATCATAGTACATATATATATTATCACATGATTATTTAATATATTTATTTTTACGTATTCACAATTTTTTCTTTTCCGTTTTTAACCGAGTCAATCAAAATTTCACGATTTAATCATTTAAATGAATTGGGTAATCTCATGATACGCCATGTTTTGGCTAATTCCTCATATGGTTAATATCTTTGATTGTTAATGCCCGTTAATAGTTTTCACGACTTTTGTACGTACGTACGTACTTAATATGCCTAAACAAATATGACAAACAATGGGAAATGAATCAGTAAATTGAAATATATAGTGTGAAATAAAGTTAATACGTATTTACAATCAATTAAATGCATGCTTTTTAACTGATATCGTTAATATCTTTCATTTTTGGTTGAATTCTAAACTTGGTAAGTAAATTTATACGTAATTGCAAGGACTTTAAAAAAAAAAGAGACAGGTTTATTTTATGATATAAATGTGTATTTACAATTATATGATTAAAAATATATACATTAGATGCTTTTCTAAATAAAATATTCAGATGTTTTTTCTAAATAAAGTAATATTCTGAGTAATTAGTATAAACTAATTCGGATGGGCTAAATTTATGAACTATGAATTTATTAAATGTTATTAGAAGTAATAATAATTGTCCAAAAATTTCAACGTGTTTTTTATATAGTTATACGATCTCATAATCTTGTTGAGTATCTCTTTCAAAAACCTCGGTTCTGACATCAACGGTAACACGAATATTACCAGCATCAATTCTAGAGCCTTCACCAACTTCAGAAGGCACCTCTGCTGTTTCACTTTCTTCGGGTATTGAAGTTAATTTAGGAGGTACTTGTAAATTTGAAGATTGATCTGAAGATGGTAAATCTAAAGTTGGTAAGCTTGAAGGTGGTAGACCTGGTATATTTGTTGTAGGCCTGGAAGCCTCAGTAATTGGTGGTCTTGTGCGTGAGAAACTGTCATCACGTAAGTATGAGGATGTTTTATAGGTTAGATTTTCAGGTGGGGCGTAATAACACTTTTTAAAGAATATTACGGCAGTCTTTTGACTGCCAAATAGCAAGAAGAAAATTATTCCACTAAATCCACCAAATTGATAAAAAAAAAAAAAAAAAAATAGATATTATTAGATATTTATTCGAATAAATATGTATACATTGGTATTTGATAATACTTACTTAAAAGAAAAGGCATAAT